AAAAATAAAATGAAAGGAAAGGGATGGAAGGAAACCATTTTAAGTTACAATAACTAATATTTCTATCATAGTCTTATTTTAATTACACTAAATCCACTAAGGAAAGACGAAAAAGGAATTGACGTAGTGCGAAAAACAAATTCTTTTGTACAGAAATAACTTAACTGTTAATTGAACTTTGGCGCGAAAATCACGTTAACAAAATGCGACTTAGATTAACGCGACTTTTTGAAGCGTTAATTTCCTACAATAAGATAAACGACAGCTTGCTTTGTACTTTGGAGAATAAAGAAACTTTCTCGCTTTCCTCGTGTAAAACGGAAGAGATTCTCCTCTGTTCCAATAGTTAGTTACCTTTTCCTCCGAGTGTCTGGGGTTTCTCGTGATTGATCGTCTAACGTTGGTCTTTATTTTCACCATTAAGTTCGCCATTTTATTCGGTTGTTGTGAAACTGGCAGCAAGGCGAGAATAATGACGTGCTTGGAATATTTTGCACCTATTCTGGGACTGGATTAGCGGGTCAATCAAACGGATTTATTTATTTCTGTTCCATTATAAGAATGACATCGCATGCATCGCATAAATTCCTACGTAGCCTTAAAACTTCCGTCAAGTTCATGATTTGCGTAATGATGATGTTTGTTTGATTTTACAATATCATATGGCATTTCACGAGGCAAAAATCTGTTGCTCTAGGAGTTTAAATAGAGGTCATCGAAATCTAACTGACAGAGACAGTTGTAACAAGGGCCTACACGATAGTTTACACAAATTATATTAGGAAAAAAATCGTAACTTTGTTCAAGATTGGAAGATCACCTCGAAGCATTGACACCACTACATACATAACCTGTTCCTTTATGTGTTGTATCGCCCTACTTCAAGAAGGTGAGTTTAATTGTAAAGTAGAATACGTGAAGTAGCATTGGCCGAATTTATATTAGAGGCGAATTATTTGTCTAAGACGAACTACCCGTCTGAGACAGACAAATCGTTTCGATATAAATCCGTTTTTAGACGAATTTTAGCCCCAAATTCGTCTTCACTAAATGTCAGCGAAGACAAGACATATTAGGGGCCAAAATTTGTCTTAACACCGGACTTATATTTAGATTCATCTTAGACAGGTAATTTCCGCCATTTTCAGTCGAGTTGTCAGCTCGTTGTTTGGTGAAGAAAAAAATACGTCGATCGTAGACAAACTGGCTAGCTTGTAAGTTGAACCTAAAGTTTGCAGCCTTTATTCCCTAGAAATTTTGATTGCTTCAGAAATTAGCAAGAAATTACAAATTTCTTGTTAACCGTTCCATTCAACTACGGTCTTCAGAGTATTTCTACTAACTTAGCAACGATTTTTGGAGGTTGTATTTCTCACAATTTGTTACCAAGATATTGCAATTCTCATGTTATTAAAGATGTTTCTTGGAAATTTATGTACAAAGCAAAACTTCCCCTAGAATCTTTTAATAAAAGTACGGTTACTTCATGTCCCCGAACTTTCCAAAGGAAGATATTACCATCTTCCCAGCGTGCCTGTGCCTATTTCTGGGTAATTGTTACCAGTCTGTGTGATGAAAACATAAATTTTACTCAAAGTATCGGAGGAATTTTCGCCTCTGTAAGGATGAGATATGGAGGTAAAGTAGGTAGTGAGTAATTTCTCGTATTTCATTAGAAGGACAGGATGATTTCTTGATTGAATTATCCTGTTTTCTGTAAAATTGACTCGAGATCAGTCCAGGAAGATCGAAGCACGCGCATCCTTTGCACAACAAATTATAGAGCTAATCACATTATCAAACGTTTTCATGAAGAAAATTCAGTATAATGCAGCGAGTTTTCAGTCAGAAAAATATGCTCCTCTGTCATATGTAGGGTAATAAGTATGGGCTTTTCGTGAAAACGATCAAAAAATTCCCAAAATCACCTATACGGCCACCCGGACGTGTTCTCACTTTTGACAAGCACCAAATTTCCAGTCCCGGCTGTCTGATGAATGAACATTAATAGAGTTACGCTTCAACATGATAGAGAATTTATTATGTTTAGGTTTTATTTCTCTTTATTTACGTTTTTGTTATGTGTTATCTTTAAAAGCGAGTGATATTTACGCGCGTCATTTTGAGTACTCCTGCATGCGATGTTTACGTACGACCGAAAACAAGCGGCGCAGCGATTAAAACTGCGAGAGAGCCCACTAACAATCAATAAAAGAAATATAATTCGGTGGAACTTGTACAGAGACAACAATTTTTATTCACGAAGACAAGTATATATTGAGGGTAAAGTGTGTCCAAAAATCATGAGTCAGGTAAGCATAATCTTATAAACTTTTTAAAGAACCTGGCAGATTTATGTTTTAAGCCGGCTTCCCGGTGTTTGCTATTTTTCAAGATGAACTCGAGGCAAGAAAATCGCTCAGACCTTTCTTTTTACAGCAAAAACCGTAGAGAAATATTCTTCTGAACGTTTTTTGTATTTATTGAGGTCAGAAAATGTCTAAAGGCTTTTTAAAGTTCTGTAAGCTTATATACACAAGCATACACTAGCCGCATAAAATACGCTCGACTTAAGGAAACCTGAAAAAAAAACAAACAAAAAAAACACACACTCACACTCACACACACGTCAGTTGCAATAATTACCCAGGCTCACCAGTCGAGATGCAGCTCCTGAAGGCCATCAAGTAAGGCCAGAATCACTTGAGCCTTTTAAGCCCTCTTACGCATCAAGCAAGGTGAAAAACGAAAACATACGAAATTGGATTTCCGACGATTTTGACAAGCGGCACATTTCTCAACCATAAATCAAATAAACAAACCAGCCATGAATTGATAGCAGATGTATTCATTTTGTACATCCAGTGGAAAAAGATAGTTAAAAACATGACAAGTTGGCGACACAAACTACCGTAAAATTCCGAAAATAAGCCCCGGGGCTTATATTCTTCAAAGGCCCTTTGAAGGGGCTTATTTTTGGAGGGGCTTATATTCGGAGGAGTTTATCTACGGAGGGAAATTTTCGTTTCAAAATCGATCGGGCTAGCTTGTAGTGAGAAGAATATTTGCCATTTTTGCTTTGTTTTACTTTGTATTCGAGGGCAAATTCCAAGTACAAGCCCCCCCCAGGGGGCTTATTTTCGGAGGGGAGATTTAACGGAGGGTTTTTTGTGTTACAAGTTTGGGGGGCTTTTATTTGGAGGGGCTTATAGATGGAGGGGCTTATTTTTCGGAATTTTACGGTATGTCAGTTTCAGCTACCAGAAAACAAGTTTCCAGATGCTGCATACATTTCCGCATGAACTCACCTGAGTGTCAACTTCAGCTATCAGAAAAGAAGTTTCCAGATGCTGCATACATTTTCTGCATGAACTCACCTGAGTGTCAACTTCAGCTATCAGAAAAGAAGTTTCCAGATGCTGCATACATTTTCCGCATGAACTCACCTGAGTGTCAAATTTTAATCAATTAGAGCATAAAAATTCGACGAAGAGCGTGACCAACGCATGACCATGGCGAGAAAAGTCAAAAGCGACTGCATTCCCTGCATGTAAAAGCTGGCTGAATTTTCGCGTCAGAGGTCAGTTTGAAATCAAAATTTTAATATTGCAGCTCATGAACATAACTTATTTCACGTGCATTAAAAAAAATTGAACTTGAGCCTGCGATCATTTGAAAAGTAGTAACTTGTCAGCGGATAATTCAATTTACATATAGTGAAAGAAGTTAGTGTTCACATAAATAGATTGTACCAGTATAATGTAAATGTATTATTTATCAAACACAACAGGAATGTGTTGCCGGAAAGAACAAAATCTTACACGTACTCTGATTCCATGTAGGACATTATGTAATTCAGATTTTTTGGATTTAGGAAAGTAAAAGCAACGGGAAATAAATTAACCTATGCCACTGATATTATTATTATCAAGGAAATAAAGGGAGATGTAAAGAATCAACCATAAGAGGACACAGAAAAAATGTGAGCCCCAGATGGGATTCGAACCCACGACCCTGCGTGTTCTAGATCGGATGCTCTAACCTCTGAGCTACTGAGGACTCGTAGGCAAGCAAGGGTCATTTTTGTGGGTTGGACTTGCGAACCGCATCTCGCAGTCACACAGTCCATCACAAGCAACACATTAAGGCTTAACTGTATCACACAGTCGCGTTAATAGCAAGAAATATCTCACCCTTAATACAGCCTCCAACCAACCAACCTATGCCACTGATATTAGTATTATAAAGGAAATAAAGGGAGATGTAAAGAATCAACCATAAAAGGACACAGAAAAAATCTGAGCCCATCGTGGGTTCGAATCCTATCTGGGGCCCAATGTTAAAAGAGTAAAAAGTTTCCAGTGCAGATAAATTTTGTCGACACAAACATTGTCAACATACAATTTTTGGTTTAGATATTTAAAAGACAATTCCAAATTTGTTTACAAGTGCGGAAAGGCCATTATCCGCTAAAACTACATGACGCCATTGTAACCTACCAACGAGGCGTCGTCGTTAAAATAATCACGGAATATGACTCAGCGTGACTCCTAGAATAGATTTCAAATTATTTTCATGGCAAGAGGGTTATGTATAAGGGATTCGCTCTCTTAGATTATTCCCTCTTGACTCAAACATATGAAAACTCACACATTGCGTGGCCGCCCTGTAGCCTTAACTTTCGGGCTCTTGTTATTAAGCGGACATGAATTTCTCACAGTTGCTAAATAAAAGCAAATTTAAAAAAAAAGTTTATCCCCTTCTTCTATCAGACAGTATTGATCATCTTCTTCCCATCTGGAATTGGCGTGCGCAAATTGTGTTAGAGCTGTTCAGAAATTAGGTAGCGGGGCAAAGCAAAAAAGGCGGGTAAACAAGCTAACGTGGTTTTTTACCGTCGTCTTTCTTAAAGTTAAGATACTGACCTTTCTTTCTTCTTACTTGTTACTGTAGCGGACAACAAACTCAAGCAACAACACCAACGACGAAAAGAACTCAAGATGTATTTTTCTTCTTCCGAGTGCATCATCTGGGTTACAGTATTTGCCGCCGAGTTTCTTACTATAGTAATAGTGAACCTCCTTTCAATCATTGTCTTTATAAAGAACAGAGGCCTTCGCACTCGCAGGATGTACTTGGTTATAAGTTTAACCGTAGCGGACATGTTGGCTGGAGGACTTTCCGGGAGTGTCTTGCTTTTCAAAGTCCCTGCCTGGAAAAGTTGTGACTTTGTAGAGGTTTATCCGGTAGTCCCTCTTATCTCCCTGACAAACATTACTGTGATTTCGTTAGAGCGAATGCACGCCACGTTTCGTCCATTGAGGCATCGGCTCGTCAAGAGATGGGTTTACGTGGTAGCAGTTACTGTTGTCTGGGTTTTTCCTGGTATTACATCAGGCTTGGAGAAAGAAAGAAAAATTCTGAAAATATGCGTTAATTTTTTATGGGAAGCACACAGTATTTTGTGTTTATTTGTTATCTTCGCTTCGTATACATCCATTTTCCTTAAGTTTCGTTTTAGAGCACATCCACAACGCCATTTTGCAGCCAATTTAAGACAGAAGAAACTTACCGTCACATTGTTTATAACAACTTTAGTATCTTTACTGATGTGGCTACCGTACAATATATTCAAGTTTCTTGGCATAACTTCTAATGGAATTTCAAATTCTACCACAATACTCTTGAATGTCGATCTTTTTTTTGTCTTATTATTTTTTGCAAACTCTCTTGTAAATCCCATATTATACACAGTCAGGATGCCGGAATTTAAAAAAGCTCTGTTCTCATTGTTTAGACGTCAACAACGACAAAATGTTGCTATTCCACCACATTGATATTAGTAATTGTATGTTAATTCACTGTACTTTATAAATTCTGAATGCGAATGTAAAAGCCTATTGCATGTAAGACTGGCGGGAGTCACAGCGGGCTCAGGCACGTCCGACTTGATTATAATAAATGAATAAAGGTTACTTACTTTATCATTTCTTAAAGTTTTTTGTCTTTTTGCGATCATTTTTAATTTTGCAGTCAGCTGGTGCGAAGTATGGGATCGGGAAATTTAGGAGGCCTGGAAGAGTAGGATATTCGGAAAATGCCCGGGGGAGGGGGACTCCCATATGAAACAGACGGGGATGCTCGTCGTCTCGCTTAGGGGTGTAAATTTTGGATTTTGGTCTCGCTTAGGGTGTTCCGGGCAAAGTGCCAATATTTTAAGCCGCCAAGGTCTCGTTTAGGGTTCCGCGAAGAACTTGAGATTTATGACAATGCTTTTAAAACCTACTTTTAGATAAAAGCATTCGATAATTATGTCTTTATATCATTAAAACTCATTGCATGTCGTATTTGTGTGTTTTTAAGCGGTCTCTTTTAGGGGTCAAAATTTGCTTAAGCCACGCCGAGATTGGTCTCCTTTAGGGGTCACAAAAAGCTTTAGCCACGCCCAGATGGTCTCCTTTAGGGGTTAAATTCAAAATTTCCGACGAACATCCCCGTCTGTTTCATACGGGAGTCCCCCCCTCCCCCCCGGGGGGAAATGCTCGAAAAGGCCGAACGCTTGCCGAGTAAAATAAACAAACTGTTTTCAGGGAATCGTCCAATGTTAGCCCAAACAGATCGACTACATCAACTGGTGGTAAGGCAACACCTTCAGCAAATAGTGATAGCTTGACATTAGGTTTTCGCGCGAGAACCAGCGCCTTGCATTCTTTAGGGTTGAAGATCATCTTGTTATTACGAAACCACCACACACCACCACAAGTTCCTTATTGAGATGATGTTCGACAACAGCTGGATCAGTATCAGCAAAATACAGTTGATTATCATCAGTATAGTTGGACAGCTTCGCCTCTTTGATGAAATAAAATCAGTCGTTTATGAAGATATAAAACAATAAGGGCCCTAAAACGAAGCCTCGGGGAAGACCGCTGTTAACATATGAGACATAACTTGTAATGTTCTCCACTCGAACCCGTTGCCTGCGATTTGTTAAATAGCTCTTCACTAAGTGCAAACTATGGGTAGAAATACCATAAGCAGAAAGCTTCATGATAAGCCGTGTGATAGCAAATCAAAAGCTTAATCTACTTAAGTCCATTATCACAGTCCCAACTACAGAATTCTTGTCAAGAGCACCTTTCCAGTCCTCGATAAGATGCAACAACCCAGACTCGCAACTGTAACTTTTTCTATATGCTGACAAGAACGTAGAAAAATACGGGTTGAAGTAGTGAACAAGCTGTTTTTAAACACATCTCTCGAAAACCTTGTCCAACAATACTAGGATGGATACAGGCCTGTACTAGGACTTGTCAAACTCATCATCTCTCTTGAACATAGGACAGATCTCTGCTAGTTTCCATTCAGCAGGAACACAAGCATTATCAATAACAGTGCTAATAAGTCGTGCAATAGGACCAGCCAAAACTGAGGCTCCATCGCATAAGATACAAGCAGGAATCTTATCATGAACAGTAGCTTTATTAGGATCTAAGGACTTAAGAATTAGCTCAGTTTCGGCCAATGAGACGTCATTAAACTCAAACTGAGCAGCCAAACACATTCGTCTCTTATAGCAGCAATGCTTAAGTAAATACTAATGTCCATAGCAACATTAGGATCACTATCATGTTCTTCACCTAGTACATTTTGAATAAGAGAAAAATAGTTGTTGAAGATCTCAGCCACTTTCTTCTTGCCAGTCACAAGTACGCCATGCTCCTTAAGGTGATAGGTCCCTTCATTGTTACTTGGTTTACAATGCATAAAGGGCTTAATTGTATACTAGAATTGTTTTGGATCACCATTGGCACTGTCTGCTCTTGACCGGAGATAGCTTGAAATTTCCCTTCGTCTTAAGATGAATTAAGATTACGCTGAAGTCTGTATTTCTCCCAGTTCCCAGGATTCTTGGACTTAAAGTATAGTTTTCTTAGTTTGTTACTGTGACGAATGGAGTCAAATAGTTCTGAGGTCATGAATGGCACATGTTGACGCTCACATATGGATCTCTTAACAATTTTCCCCATGCCCAACACACATCCAAGGGACATAAAAAAATTGTGCAACATGGAAGGGAACTGTAGCAATGTCAGCTGAAAACGATCCTGGGTATGAATTTTACGGATGTGTATGGTCTCACCAACTTGATTAAAGTATCAACTAGGGTAGTGGTGGAATCTAGCTCGCTCACTGATGTAATTCTTACGAACAAGCCACGTTCTGTTCTTACTTCAGGAGTGTTTGATCTTGGCCTCATTGATCACAATCTTATTTACACTGTTATGCGGTTACAATGTCCAAAATTTATTCCTAGAACAATAATTGTAAAGCGCCACTTCAAGCATTATGATCTTGTCAGGCCGGGAGAGGTCGCAGTTTAGGTCTCCGATTAGCATAATACTCTCGCAACGTTGAGTTGACCGGAGAAGAGTACTATTAATTTCATGTTCCCATGTAGCTTTTAACAAGCCGGTGGTCTGTACATCCCGAGAAACAAGCACCTTTTTCGCTCTCCTGGACGTTTGCACATACAGGGTTATCGATTCAACTTCATGTCCTTCCAAGTCATGTATTCTAGTCACAATCAGCCCTCTTCTAACATGAATGAACTCACCACCCCAAACAACTGTGATGACGATCTTTGCTGTACAGGCAAAATCCGTTGATGTAAAAGTGCGAGTCAGGAAATGAATGGTCCACCTTGCATTCGATGATCACTATAATGTCGAAGACAATTTTGAGAATGAGGGACCTTAGCTCAAAAAACTTGAGGTCGGCCACACTGTTGATGTTAATATGCCAAATCAATCTCAAACTCTCTTTACACAGTAATGGCAACCCCTTTGCTCACAGCCACGCACACTCTTTGCATAATGGAAGGCGATCTTCACGTTGAAAATCTCGAGGAGTTGACTAGAATAGCTTAGAATCACCAAAATAGAAGAGTTAATAGACAACTATGCTGTCTATTATGGAAAACGAGAAGTATTACAATACTTACTGGATTGATTCCAGGTGAAGAAAACGAGTACGTTGAGGCTCTTGAAGAGAAGCAGTTTTATCAAGATCATTGGTATTTACATCCCAATTTTGACGAAACAAAATACTCATGCAAAGGGGAAATGAGAAAAAAAAAAAGGCTTGTTTTGTATACCGTGTCAGTTAGGATTAACAACAAAGCGAGCCAGCCGATAATTTTACCACTTACCTCATACGATCGATAAACCAAATCATCTGATGTTTCAGTTTTTCTGTTTCTATCACGCTGGATTTTTCTGTAGCATAAGGGAATCACACTCTAATTTGTGTTTATTTGTTAAGTTCTGTTGTGGCGCACATCCTCAGCGCCATCGTGCCATAAAAACAAACAAACAAACAAACAAATAAACAAATAAAATAGGAGGAGGGATGGGTAAGTGAAAAATTGTGCTTAGTGTTTTTGCCTTGTTGAGAGATTCATTTTGAATCACTAAGTATTTTACTATTTTTTGTTATTGCTGTCAATAACAAAAAAAATAATTGATTTCTTGTTTCTTAAGAAAAAAATATGACTGGTTTAATTGCGAGTAATTATTAATCTCGTGTTTCAATTGGTTATTTTTCGTTGTCTATTGTTTTGTGTTTTTAAAATAGTAAGGGCTGTTCATTGGGTCTTAAGGTAGAGACAAGTCGTATTCAAATATCGGTTCCGTTCCTTAATTTGCTCGCATAATTAACCGACTTATACGACACCTCGAAACGAGCGACAGCAATGAGCTGTCACAGACGTTCACGATTATTTCAAGTGATTACATAAAAAAAGTAAACATACTAGAGGTCTTTTATACTTAACCACGCTCGCTATCTTCAGAAATTGCAGGTACTGTTATATTTTACTTTTTCGTAAACCTTTAAGAGCGATGATAGGGGTTATAGGAGCGTAAAACGTTTAGTATTTTTATAGGCACAAAAACCTGAGTCAGGTAGCATCATGGTTCAGTCATGTAATGGAGATAGAACAGAAAAACGTTTTGCAATAGCCAGTCTAGATTGAAATAATGAATTTTCAGCTTCACTTTGTCTGAGTTTTGTCTTTACAGCTAATTCAAAGGAATGGTTGAAGTAAAGCGTTTTCAGCTCCGCTTACAGTGTCTGAAATTTGTTGATAACGATTTTTTAGCACTAAATAGAAGACACGGGGGTTTCTCGCGTTACTAGGCGATCGCTCCTGGTATTCCTACCTTTTTAAAGTTGTTTAAACCGGGCTAAAGTAAATTATAGTAGCGCGTAAGCCTAGCCTAGCCTGCTCTTCTAAAAGTATTGAGTGAAAGTACAGTTATTAAAATAAGGAAAGGACTATCTACTTATTAGTAAACACGAAGACAGTTATTAACATATGAAAAGAAATGACTAGACACTTAATTAGTATGCAGGGAGGCACTGACTATATATAGGCACTTAAATTGGAATGCAGGAAGGAACTGACTAAGCACTTGCTAGGCCTTAAAATGAATTGAATATTCCGTATACTACCACTTACGAGGGTTAAATTGACCACAAACTCGATAATGGCGAGAGCTTGTAAATTAGTGTTGTAGGATCTTTAAATATTTTTATTACATCAAAATTTTAGTTTATGTTAGTGGAATGTAAATTGGATGGTCATATGTTAATAAAAATTTTTCCTTTGAAATAATAATAATAATAACTTGAACTTGAGAAGTTAGAAAAATACCAACTATTGAAAGATGAAATTGCAAAAGTGTGGCGCATGCGAAAAGTCATTGTAGTGCCTGTTGTTATTGGGGCCCTC